TTTGCCTTCACATTGTCTTTTGAACTTACTTAATACTATTTTTCTTTTCCTAATAAGTATCGATAGCCAGATATCAATAGTTAACTATGGTGCTATCCCCACTGTTAAGGAACTAAGTCACTTACTGGTAGTGCTATCCCCTCTATTTCCCTCTATCTCCCACTGCACATTAGATGAGCGGTCGAGTATATGTAATTTAGACCAGTATTATGCAGTCGGCATCGGCCGCTGTGCAGCATTCTCATAAGCTTTTATTTTAATGATTTCCATTAAATATCAGTTTCAATAGGCTTAAACAGAAAAGCGCATTAAATTTATATTTTCACACATTTTACTTCATTTGCTTCAAAATAACAATAATAAAATTCAATATCTAAAATGGTAATTGAGTTTTACACCTAATGACTTGATTGATAACAGTATATTGTTTTATTTAAGTGCAAACTTACAATTTTATTCAATAATTTCCAAATACATTTTCATTTTTGATTCTCTCTCTCGCTCTCCAGCTCTCCCACTCTCCCACTCTTTGTTATTTCCCAAGGGCGTACATTAATTTAGTTCTGTTTGGGATGCCAATGCAATGGCAGAAAAAAAAATAAAATCTCCAAGTAAAATCATCCATTAAATGGGGCACAGAGCAGCAGCAACAAGAATTCCCACAACTACGCAAATTGATCAATTTCAATTCAGTTCAAATATCATGGGCGTGATTTCGTCTGGGGGGGGAATGGCAATCGTAATGTCATTCCGTAATGTGGCTAATATAAACTTTTTATTTTACCACAAACACACGCACACACACACACACACACACATACACACATATGTATGTATCGTGAGCAAAACGATTGCGACTTATCGAATGCGAATCGCAGTAAGCAAGCGAAATTTGTCAAAGTTGGGCAAGTCGATTAGAGAATTGAAAACCAAGTAGTTAGATGCGATTTCGGGCGTCAGATTTAGTTTATTTATATTGAGAAAATCTTGACTGACACACACACACACACACGTACACCCATGACTCTGCAAGCCGTGTATACGTATTTAATTTTATCTTTGCCCTTGCGCATTGCCTTATTCGCGGTCCACGTATACCTGGTGGATATGGCGGCCATGATGAAGTTAGTGAGTCTCTCTCTCAGGCTAGTCGTGGATCTGCTGATTTACACTAATCAGAAGATACGAGCCCAGTTGAAACACACTGACGGACCACAGCCGACGCTGATCCATGGAATGCTATCTAGGACGCTCACGCTGTTTCGATCTCTGTTGGTTTTCGTGTTGACGGGGATGCGAGTGATGCAAGTGCATTGCGATGAGCTGGTTGATGGGAGTGAATTTTTTCGATACTGGGCAAGTGAATATACCTGGTTAATCAAGCTTCTACCGCGCTAGAGCTACAAATTATCTAGTGAGTGCAATAAATGCTAGCGAACCGCAAGCACATGAAATTTAATGGTCTTTTCGAATACTTTTGGCCTTTTTTGGGTGCAAAGCGAACGCAAACGCAAACGCAAACGCAAACGCAGCCGCAGCCGCATGGAATTCGCAATTCGCTATTCGCTATTCGCAATTCGCTTTTAGCGTGCGCAATTACACTTGAAGAAATCCTGGGGATTTCGGGTGAAAATCCATTTGTCACAATGCTGAGTACGTGAGCGACGCTGACTGCCGCAGTCGCCAGTGCGGCCAGTAGTGCGTGTAAATGTCTCGCCCGATTCCTGTATATATGACTGCAGAGTCCTGTGACTCGACAACGACGGCGATGGCGACGGCGACGGCGACTGCGGCTGCTGCTGCTGCTGCTGCTGCTGCAGTGCATTGCACAGAGCACAGCTGCAGTGCCGCGGCTCTATCACAATGACACTTCATTTCAGTTGGCCTCTGCGGCAAGGACACAACGTTTTTCCCCAAAATATATATACATATATGTATGCACACACACACACACACACGCATCTATACATATCAACTGTTGTAGCAGTAGTAGCCATATCTATGACCAGTGCCAGGGTCCTTTTAAATGAAACGAGAAGGAATTGCCAATTTGCGAAAAGTCGAATAAATATATACTCTTACTCGAGCTACACTTCTCCATTGATTTCTAGTTTATTGAAAATGCTTGAATATCAAGCAGGAGCTGTTTGACCAACTGCAAATGCTTGCTAGGGAAATTAAAGAAAAACTGAACAAACTAAACCAGATTAGATAGATATTTGACTTTGCTGTTTGTTTTGGCTTAAGAGTCAGCTTTAGTTGTTAGACCTGATGTCAAATCGCTTGATCGGCCAGCGAAAAGTTATCCCTAGATACCTAATATTTTTACCATGGCCTTGCATTCCCTTCGTCTAGCAGTGATTATGGTATTAGACTCGAGGAGTTTAGGCAATCAAACAGATTATGACGAATTTGCATTGTCATAGTAATTATAGTCATCTAAATTAAAAGATCTCTTTAATGCCCATAATATTATCAATAGTAATTATAATTTTCTGCATTGCAAATCCAAGCATGATGAACTTTATAATTCATTAGAGAGCCACTGCACTTTCATCTTGTATGTGGAAACTTCTGCATAAGTTCTTCCGCTTCATCAGCTCAAGTGCTCTTAAGAGGATTTTGACAAACATGTTTGCCTTTAATAACTAACCTAACGCAACTTAAGCTCATTCACATGATGAGCCACGCTCTAAAGATTTTACAATATAAATATGTATTAAGCCATTGCTCGAGGGTCTTGGCAATGCGTTGGAATTTCATTTCAGGCATTTGTCGGCAATCAATGCGGCTGAGATTAGAGCACGTGGACGGACAGGGCTTAAGCAGATTGCTCTCTGTTGTTGTTGTTGTTGTTGTTGTTGTTGTTGCTGTTATTGTGGTGCTGCATATTTGTATAACTCTTTAATCGACGTTACATAATAGAATTACATGCATGTTGAGCGCATTAACTATAATTGAAAACAATTTTTAATTAATAAAATGTCAACACACTGCGCCACCCCGCATAATTGGAAGTAGTCATTAAATTGTTTTTACACAGCATCGGAGAAAAACAAAATATATATATCAACTGTAATGTGTAAGTACAATAGCCATATAAAATGCAGAGCAAACAAATAAAACGAAACTTCACAAACAACGGTCAAGGGAATTAAATATACATACATATATATGACTGTATGTATATATGTATTTGTATGGGGCGACAATGAAATATCAGACCACAAAAAAAAAGGTTAATTGACCAACAAATAACTTAATTAAATCAAATGAAAACTAAAAAAAATCAATTTTTAATGAGCTTTGCCATTGTTGACCTCATTTAAATTATGAACAACAAGAGTGACACTCAGACCCGCATTGGTATGTGTAAGGTCAATCCACCTGGATAGCAGCACAGACACAGGCTCTGTCTCAGGCACAGGCACAGCTGAGATCTCCACTCAAGGCAAGTTTCGATGCAGAATATAAAAATAATAATAAGAGCACTTAAAATGTTGTCTTTAATTAAGCGAGTCGATTGAAAACTATTAATTAAAGCGGTGTCTATTAAGTGCTTTTAAATTTCTTGAAAATGTCAATTGACGATGAAAATGAAATGCATATGTAATTAAGAATTCATTCAATATGTTTTTAGTGTCGACTTTTGAATGCTCTCAAGGTTAAGATTGATATTAAAATAAAAATATATGTATTTCTGATTAAATTCAAATTCCAAGAATTTTGGAATGATAACTATATAATCCGTTAAATAAAAATAGTAAATATATGATATCCATAAGAACAATTAAAGTCCTTTTTTTACATCAATAAAACAGAGTAAAATTAAATAATTTATTTTCTTTCAGATATATATATTTGTTTATTATAAGTATAATGATTTTTAAATGGCGAAATTAATAAAAAAAAAAAAAATATTGTTGCATTATAGTTTATAATTCATAGCCATATTATAAAATATTAATTATTTTTATCATCACTTAAATTTGAATTAAACAAATATATGTAAAATTTTTTTATAAGCACAAATTTGATTTCCTAAAAAAAAAATAAAATAAATGAAAATATAAATACATAAAAATGTTTGACAATATTTTCTTTGGTAGAAATTTATATACAAATTTAATTAAAATTAATACAAATTTATTAATTATTATAGAATTACATTTTTAATTTAATTTAAAAAAAAATGTATTAAATAAAAGAACAAAAACTTTGCTAAAATAAAAACACAAATAAAGCTCTTAAAATTGCTATGCGAAAGTCCTGTTCATAGTTTAGAAAAAGGCACTTCAAAGTAATTGAATCAAATTGCGACCAGCAGGAAAAACATTTAAAACAATTGAAAACTTGCGGCATAAATTTTGCATTTGTTTCGTTACCTGCGCGCTGCAATTTATTGATTGCCAAATCAAACAAGAAGAAGCAAAACGGAAGGAGAAATTAAATTGAAAAAATTCGTAATATATAACTCAAACAACTACTTAAAACAACAGCACGCAAATGGAAACCATTAACAGCTTAAAAATATTTAATTACCAACTCTGACCGCGGCGTCGCTTATGCTGGGGAATGATGGCGAATGCGCAGGTCGTGGCGCTGGGGTCCTGAGCCTGCCACCAAATTGCAATTAATCTTCTTTTAACAGCAAACTTTTGATCCGCTTTATTTGCATTTCACTGCGGCGCAAACACAAACAGAAAGCAGCAGCAGCAACAACAACAACAACAACAACAGCAGGGAAAGCTACGGCCATCTGGCAGGGGAAAATAACGAAAATGCTTGTCATAAAAATTTATCAAGGGTTAAAAATTATGTTACGCGTTTCATTTTGGTGGCTGTGAAATGATTTATGCAAAATCTGTGCCCTAACCAACAACGACGACAACAACAACAAAACAACAAAAAATGAATATAAATTGTGCAATTTCATGTTTTGGCTTATTCTTTTGCCTTTTTTTGATTATTTTATTTTTCAACTTTTTATGTCCGGCAAATTAATTTAAAACTGTCTTATAATAACAACAACAAGAGCAACAACCCAGGGTCAGCGCGCATTGCACATTATTTATAATCTCACATTGAACTGGCGGAAGGCCATTTCGAGTGTCTAAGCCCTAGCCGATAATAATTTTCTTATAGCCAAAGACGCCCGGATAGTAGCCGCCGTAGCCGCCGTAGCCACCGTAGCCTCCATAGCCGTAGTATGGTGAACCGTAGTAACCATAGCCGGGATAGCCATAGCCGTACCCGTAGCCAACGGGCCAGGCAGATGCGACGCCGCCGACGCCGAATAAGAATGAGCGCGGATGACGAGCTGCTTGCCCCGCCGCCGGATTGCCGCCAATTTCCTGCTCCAATGACAGCAAATCCGTTTTTACAACGCCAACTGGTGCCACTTCCTTGTCAACAGCTGCGTCGACGCCGACACCGACGACAGCCGCCGCTGCCGCCGCCGACGTCGCCACATTCAAGTGCGTAACCAGCAGCAGCAGAGGCAGCAGCAGCGGCCACAGCGACGCTACCGGCGTGTACACGGAATGCATATTTAAATATTAATAATCGTGGAAAATATGATATTTCAATTTATTTCAATTGCTGGCCACCCAGCGATAGCTCGGCCTCAACGCTTAACTCACAACTGTCACTCGACCAGCTCCAAAATTCATTTGCTATTTATATGTGGCATGCAAGCTCGCTCGATTTTCATTTAAAGCCAAATCTCTTTCAACGTGCGCTAATTTTATTAAACGCAAATTGTTTTAATGAAAACCCAGAACACACAAATTGTGTGCTAACGAATGATTCGGTTAAGGCTGAAGCAATCAATGCGGCCAACAACAAACCAAGAGACATACCAAATAAATTATTGAGCTTACTGCAGCGTCACGAACGGCTAATGGTCTCACGAAATAAACAACAATTCTAAAATACATTTTTTTAAATATAAATGTGTGCTGTATTTGTTGTAAACGCTGTGATTAAATCACAATGTAATGCCAACAATGTGGCTCGGCTAAAAGTGTTATAGAAAGTGAGAGTAAAGCGTGAAAAATGTGTTTTATAATAATATAATAATAATATAAGAATAATATAATAATAATATAATAATAATATAATAATAATATAATAATAATACTTATAATAATACTAATAATATATAATATGTATGGAGGTAAAAAAAAAAAAAAAAATGCACTGCTGATGCTTTTAAGAAATCGGAAAAGTCCTAAAGAATATTTTTAAAAATATATATCGTTAAAATAACCTACTCAGGCTATTACAAACACAAAAAAAAAAAAAAATTAAATTCTGAACCAAATTTTTTAAGTCTATATCTTATCCATTAGTCACTAGAAAGCTTCATACAAACTGTAAAAAATTCTTGACATCACTCAGTCAACAAAAGCATTTAAAGAGTTTACGAATTATATCGGAAATTTAATTCCTTTAAAAATATTTAAATACAAGCAATGAAATTAAATACAATTGCTGAAATTTCGCCCACAAAGATATCAATAAATCCAAGTTCAAAATCCTGTCAACTTATCAGCTTAAAATCGCTGCGTTAAGCTATATGATATTTTACAAGTGTTACGTGCTCAAGTACTTGAAATGCTCAAGGTTTAAAATCAGTCAAAATCAAGTTATTAAGGCATGACAAGGTTTGTCATAGCTAGAGCACACATCAACCGTATAACATATTACGCATACGCAGCGTGGCTCGGTGACAGCCTGATGTTGTCTCGTTGGCTGCCAATTGACACATTTCGTGTTCAAATATGCGTAAATAACAATTATTGTAATTTTTGTATTTTTTTTTCCTCTGTTGTTGTGCTCAGCGAGAGCAGCGAGACAAAGCACAGACTTGTTACATTCCAGCAGCAGCGGCAGCAGCAGCAGCAGCTGCCAGTGCATAGACATGTGTGTAACCTTAAACGTGCCTGAACCTTGAACTTGAGTGACAGTGCCAAGTGGCAGCAGCAGCAGCAGCAGCTGCGAAAGGGCGGCAATGTGTGCCGATGTGTCAACGGTTTAGATTGCGTTGCATGATTTGCAAGAAAAATGAAGACAATAGTTGAATTTTACACTTACCAGGCGGATGCCTGTGTTGTCGTCGACAACAGCAACAGCAGCAGCAGCAGTGACAAAAACAAAAGTAAAAACAAGTTGCGCCGTCAGCGTGTCACGCGATTTGTTGGTTTGAACAAGCATGAAATGAATATATTTGTCATCAGGCAAAAGTTATGACGCCCAACTCGTTGTCGTCTTCGTCTTCGCTGTCGCCGCCGCCGTCGCCGTCATCAAGTTGGTTTTTTCCCTATTAGCGACCTAGCCGGAAAGTGGGAAACAAAGAAAGCCAAAAAAACCCCCCGCCACACGCAGCCAGTTCATAGCGGGTTACTAAATTTGCGTTTTAATTCTATTTGCACATTCAACTCAAAGTCACAAATGCGATTTCGTTCTCTTTCCAATGCGATAACCAATAGCAACAAGAACAAAACTGCGCAGCATTCCCAGGCAACACAAACTTTTCGCGACTTTCGAATAGTCTTTCTCTGTAGTTGTGTGGGTGTGCGTGTATGTGTGTGTGAAGTGAGGCTGTGTGTCAACAAATGGCTCGAATGAAATTTATAAGCAAAGTTACTAAAGTGCACTGGCGCAACTTGATAAGGGTCTATGCCTTGTTCAGTGTTATATCTAACTAGGCCTCACTGCCCAAATATATATGTATGTATGTGTGAAGACCAGCAGAGCGATGGTCACGCCTAGATATATATTATCACAGCATAGTTGTGGTCTGGCAAGTTTTACGAGGCGCCAATAAGCCAAAGTAAACAAGACAAATGTATTCATTTCAAAAAGTGAATTCCAACTTTGAGTTGAGCTAATTAAATGTTGCTACTGACTTGTTGAACTCAAACATAAACTATCGATAAATGAGGCTTGAATAAGTACATTAAATTTCGAATGGCATTTTACAGCTCTTTAAGAGGCGGGATCTATTGCAAAAGAGAGATCAAGCAATAATTAGATATAGACATATATATGTATAATATAATTTAGTATATTTAATAATTTTTGAAGATAATCTATAAAAGAAAGTAAATAAATTATAATAAAAGCTAGTCAAAAATCTTCTCCAAAATTCAGCTTCTTTGTTTGTTTATATATAAAAATCTTTACTTCATTTTCATCTCTGAATTGAAAGTTTATCCATGATTGAAAGGCGAATATATGCCCCTGTTCTTCAATTATTCGCATGTCAATCAATGTTTCAATGAAAGCAATTGGCCAAATTAATGACAACCCCTGCTGAAAATTTAACAGCATATTAATAAGCGACGGCTCAGCCTATAAAACATAATAGCGAGGCAAACATGAAGAACAAAAATATTCAAAGTAATGCATTAAATTTTTATTAAATAAAATGAAAATTACTTCAGTTGCTGGTCTTCAACTTGTTTTAGTTTAAGTGAAAATGATTACATATTTCATTGCAGCCATTTAACTACATCTTGGCCTTAGTGTATATAGGCATTATATAGTATAGGCATTAAAAAAAGAAATTATATTCACACTCAAAAAACAAATGACAAATCATATCGATTATTTTCAGCAGCTGATTTGTATAAATAACTATTACAGTTGCTCAAATATAGTTATCAAAGAAATTATATTTATGAAGCTTTTTTCCAAAGGACCTTTCGAATAACGTTAATTAATGATTAATAGCGGCAAAAGTCAAAGTGTAGCTACACAAGTCACGGGCACAAATTGATAAACTTCTGCACCCTTCGCTGCCTGTGCAACTATAACTTTGTTGTCAACAATAAATAACACATGAATTCATTTAATAGCACAATAATGCTGAGTAATTGTTTTTTATTATTCAACGGGTCAGCTCTGAAAAGTAATTAATTATGTTACGCTCTTATTACAATAAATAAATGTAACATCAATAAACATAAAAAAAAAAATGAAATTAACCACTTGTGCACTTCATTACAATGCCATTATTTTTATGATTTTATGCCAGACGATGACAAAATAAAATAATAAAATAAAATCAAAATGAACGGAACAAAAAAAGAAATGCGCAGCAAAGTCAAGGAAGCAAACAAAGTCCTGTGCACTCCATTCGCATGTCAACGACAGCGGCAGGAGCAAAAAGTTCCCATTGCTGTCTAACTTTGATATTTAATGGTTAAATTGTATATTATTGGTGAAATGGGGGCGATTTTATTAGAGCTGTCAGTAGAGTTCATAGTCGACTTATTTATGCGTTCGATGACAGCCGATTTGCTTCCACCCTCGGCGAGTTGTGTCCCTGGCGTGACGGCAATTTTCATTTAATTAGTTAAGCGAAATCATTTATTTTTGTCACATGAACTTTGTATACATACATACATATATATATTGTGTATATATATTCCTTAGTTATATACAATCTATTAGCATTTCGTCAAGTCATTGTTGGTGTATATAAATACGCATATATATAGGCTTACCTTTCACTTAACTCAAGTCAAGCTACATGACAGCTGGAACGAGGCAAAGTTACGTGTTTTTTTTTTCAATTTAATATCACTTAATTATTATCGCAGTTGACGTTGTTGTTGTTGTTGTTTTGGTTGGGCTTGCTGCTATTATGACAGGGCACTTTGCGTTGTCATTGTCGCTGTCTCACTGTCACGGCCAAGGACTCGTGCTGGCTAATGTGTCTATGATGTCTGCTGTTATTGCAGGGGGTTTCCCCAATAATGATGCTTTTTATGATTTTTATGACATCGCAGCCAGGCAATAAATTTAGCACAGGAGCTGTATATTGGCAACACATTCTTGCCAAATCGACTTGAATGGCTTTTTTGCCAGGCTTAGCCAGGAGACGCCTCGCCCTCGCCACACCAACGGATCGTGCCCCAAAACAAATGCCAAAGTAATCAGCTTGCTGTGTGCAAAAAGTCAGAAAGCAGCTTGGCACCATGTGGCAGCTTTAAATTCCTACAGTCAGCACATTTGTACATAAAGAACAGCGACGGACACAGAGACTAGAGACTGCAGGCGCCCCGACAAAACCCACACACTCGAAACAACTTAACTCTTGAACACATGCCGCCAGCAGGCACATGGAGGAGAAACTTTTGTCACGACGACAGAGACGGACGGATAGCAACAATGAAGACGACGACAGAAACTTGCACTCGACACACACACAAACACACACACACACACACACACAGCTGCACACAAACTGACGCCCAAAAGTCCAGGGAACATTTAACACAATGGGCACCAAAGAGAAAGCCATTAGCTCGGAAAGTGGTTAAACAATATGAGAGCTACAGGAGACAACAGAGCTACAAATGTGAAATAGATTCCAAATTAAATTTAAATATAAATGTCGCAAACTGTGCGGCGCTCGAAAGTAATTAAATATAACAGCTGTTTTGCCCAATGTTTTGCATTCAGCTCTGACATTTAACGCAATATTCATTAACTAAAAACTTATGAACTGATAATGAATAATGAATACATAGCAATCACTATTTATAGCTGACTTTAAGAGATTTTTAAATATGCATTTTAAAAGTTTATTTTGACACTAAATGCAAAATTAATAAAAAG